TATAATAGACAGGGATCGAACCCAGGTCGACAGCGTGATAGCTCAGAGCCTAAGTGCCCGAGCTACGCCGCCATCTCGACAATTGATCTAACAAGACCGGAATATAAGGGACGCCATGAACTTCAAATCGATTTTTCTCAAAAACGGCTGAGCGTTGCGCCCTATCCTTTTACTAAAGTACTCTTCTGATAGAGTACTATACCATATAAAAATTTCTTTGAAATCGGTGACCCGAAGTCCGCGTCCTCCCCTTGTTAGTCAACAATGTCTTAGTTAACCAATGTCAAACAATGTCTTAGTTTTTGATTCTCTAATGTTAAAACGACTCATTTATAGCCACGGGCTTATTGACAAAATTGACTTGTTTTGGTATGCTTTATAACCAACTGCAGTTTGTCGGTCTAATTTTGGGACATCCTGTATATGCTGGAATGGGCACTGAATCGTTTGCCGCCAGCCGAAAGAGAACCATATGTAATGTATTGCTGACCTTCTACGTACAGTCAAGTTCGAAATTTTTGACTGTTGTTTGGCGGAGTACAATCGGTACAATACACAGATATCTATATTATATACTAGACCGCTAACTCATATTAAATCATGACCACAAAATGTATATACTAAATTCTCGCACATGTGTGATGCCTGTATCAGTTCACTTAGTGAACTCTATACATACTGAAATGAGCACCGCCGTTAAGCCAGCCAAGCTTGTTTGTGAAACAAAAAACCGATAGAGAGATAGAGAACCCTGGTGAAAAAATTTCTCTTAAAATTTGTCTGAAAATGTCTGAAAACATATTTCAGGGACTTTCAGTAAGATTTAGAAACATTTTTACGGTATTATATATTCAGGGATTATTAGTGATTTGTGTGAAAATTATTTCCAAGTGTCAGAAAATTCCTGCATTTAGTTGAAATTTGGATTTCAGTGATGTCTCTGAAAGTTATATTTCCAAGGTTTCTCGCTTTTCACCTAGACAGCACAGAACATTGCAATTACATTGCAGCAATGTTACAATCTTGCAAGTTGCAATGTATTATAATATTGTTGAGACATTATTGGAACATGTAATTATAATATTTCATGAGATTGTGACAGCAACATTCCAAAAACATTACAAAAGCAATATTCGGTAATCGCTAATTCGTTTGTTTACCGCTATGCGACGCACGTTGCGCAATCTATCTCGCATTTAAGTTTTAGTCATGATGATTATATAAATCTTGCAAAGAGTGGCTAGTAAGATTAAAGGCATAGTAATTATTTTTATCAGTTTAATTTTTCTGATACGACCCCAACACAGGGAATTCAGATATTGAACTGATTGTTCAGAAATCGGACAGATAAATCTCCGAATGAATAAAAATCGTCCTTTTATTGTATTGGGATGTAAAATCGAATTTCCATATAAATAAAATGTAGCTCCATATAAAAAATATGTAGCTCAAATATCATATTTTTTCTTTAAGACAATTGATTCTTCTCATTATTTTGTGTATAAAAGTGTTGAGGCAATATTGCGAGGAATCGATTTATATAAAAAAATTAGGGTGATTTTATTTAAAAAAATGAAGATAACCTTGATATCTCTGAAGCGCCCCCACCCGGACAAAAATTATTATCGCCATATGATAGCCCCCTTCGTACCATGCAACTTTAGTTACACAAATCTTCTTCTCGAACTATAGATTTGAAGATATTTAAGGTGGTAATAATTATTGCCTCACTCTGTATTACGTGTTTCATATTATCTATATTCATATAAAAATATCTATTTAAAAAATTAACACCATTTTGTATACTGTTTTTACAATAGATGTATGTACATATATGATATACATATGCCACATATTTTATTTCTAAAGCATGAAATATAAAGATATTTCTTGTGTTTATTTATTTTTGTAAAAAAATCTTGGTAAAAGAAACTGTTGAAATAATTTAGAATTTAAACTCTCGCGCGACTGTGAGGTGAGGAAGTGGGCAGCGATAGGCTGTTGTATTAGAGTTCCTTTTGTTTTATTCTTCCCCTCCTCTCTCACTTGTCTTCTTCTTTATTATGTGTGGTAACGCTAGTTGTTGTGTGACGACGGACGCGTGTAAGGCTTCTTATATTATTAAAATAAATACTCTTAAACCCAACAGAAACAATATGAATTTTGCGACTTGCAATAATCTGTTTCAATATGTGCTTCCTTTAAATACTTACAATTAGTTTTATTTTAAGCACAAAAATGCATCAAAATATATTTTCGATTTTGATATGTATTTTAAATACCAAGTTACATATCAAAATCGAAAATGTATTTCTATTGCAGTAGAAAAGAAACATTCTTGTCTTATAACAGAGAAAAGTATAATATTGTCTAAGGTACAGTCCAATAAAAACTATTAACATTGAACATCTTATAAAATCACTGTGATTCATAAAATCAGAAATACTATTTTAAAAATATAGACATATTTTGACTATTTGTTTTAGACTGCACTACACAAAAAAAATCATAGAATAATTTTATTTCTGCAAAATTGTGTATGTCAGTGAAAAAGTGATTTATTTGTTATTACATGAACATGACATTTGCAGCATTGATGAAGTTTCAGTCGCCAAAATACCGGCTTTAAAACAAAATTTTATCGCGACACGTTGTTCCTTACACACATCCATTTTGCAATTATTCGTCAATACTAGTACTAAGTATTTGTCAATACTAAGTATTTCCCAAAAAAGTATTGGCCAATTTATTATTGACCAATACTAAGTATTGAGAGCTCAATACTTATTTTCCGTAAAGGAAAGGTTGTTTTTAAAACTAAAGCTTTAAACTTAATTTTAAAGATTTCTTGTCATTCTTTGATATACTTTTCTTTGGAACGTGGATTTGTTTTGCACATGTATACCATATAACTTTTGTATTAAATAAATATTCCTATGAACTGGCAGGTTGTCGGTAAAATTTCCAAATTTTTTTCTTTTTTTCTGTTTTAAATCAGTCACCCACAATTCTATTAGCATATGTACTTTAATCACACAAAAGGATTTGTGATTCTGTAGAAGCAATAAAAAAATTCAGCAAAAATAAAAATAATGGGGACCTGTGGAGTGACCAGCTAGGTCTCCAGATTTAACCCCTCTAGATTTTTACTTATGGGGAAGAGTGAAAAATGAAATTTACTCAACGCCAATCGAGTTTCGTGAACATCTGATTTAACTGATAAACACGGCTTTCGATCGACTAAAATTAAATCGGGAGGAAATCCGTAATGCGACCAGATCAGTCACTACTCATGCCGAAAGTGTATTGAAGTTGGAGGGGGACATTTTGAGAATAGTTAGTTTTTTTCACGTTGTTATTCATTTTTACTACTACAATGCTATTTTAGTTTAAAAAGAAGAATCATTTTATTTTTTGAAAGAAAAAGATTATTTTTTAGAATTTTTAAGTTTATTTCTTTTATTTATTTTTTTCACCTTCTACTCTTCCTTTTATCCTTCTATGGTAATTGGTATAAACAATGCAGAAAGAAAATTTTTAGTTGAAAACCAACAAGCAAGATAAGCATTAAAATTAGCGAAGCTATGTCAGCATAAATAAAGAATATTTTAAAAAGCTCTACTGTCGATATCCGAATAAACACTTTTTGTACATTTAAAACTGGCTATCTCGACACCTATGGAACGTACTACAATCGCTTTCATCTCATTTGAAAGATAATTTAATTCTCTACAATTTTTGTTTGGGTACTATTTGTTAAAAAACGCATATTTTCCCTAATATTTGTAAAAATGTATAAAATAACCGTGATTTCAGAGGTTTTTGGGCGCTAACTTTTTAAGGAAGCATTTTTCGACCCATGTTTATAGGAAATTTTTGATTCAGAATCAAATTTCCTATAAGATCTCAAAATATCGCCGGAACGTTCGGGGCCATCCTGTATATATCTGCTTTTTTCTACTAACTAAAGTAAGTCGAAAAAAAGCAATTTTAGCCTGAGGGCTGTCTAGCATACGTCGTGTGGAATGTGCTAGACTGAATGTTTCTCAATCAATTGGATTGCACAAGGTGCTAGAATTTCCTGGCCGGCTCAATCATCAGATTTAAACCTATTAGAAATTTTTTTTGTGAAAATATTTAAAAAATAAAGTTTTCGATAATGCTCTCATATACAATACTGCAAAATGTACGTATTCTGCTAGCATATAATTCTATTACCTATTATCAAAAATAGCGTAAAAAAGTCATTTAGTTTCGTATTTCGAAAATGTATTGAAGTCAATGGACATCATTTTAAAAATTTTTTAAAATAAATTTTTGTGTTAAAATATATAAATTTTTGATTGTTATATTTTCCTCAAACATATGCTATTTCCTATATTCAAGATCATCTGAAAGTTATATTATCATAGGTCGCTGAACTTCTTTCGATGTCAGCTATAAATTGACGCAAACAAAAACGTAAGATTTTATTTTAAAAATTTATTCTAATCTTTAATCTCTTTAAAAAATGACTTCAAGGAAAAACTTTCTTATCATTATAATTACCCTCAAACATGTAAGATGTTTCATGCAACATTCCTTAGACATTTTTTTGTATCGTCAAAAACAATCGAAATAATTCTGGTGGTCAAAATATACTCTAGACAATACAAAACATCCTGGGAATAGCTTGGATATCCTCAGGATGTCCTGAGACATTCCTCAGGATATCCCCCAGATTCCTTAGACGTTTTGTGCTGTCTGAAGTATATCTTAACCACCTGAAATATTTCGATTGTTTTTGATGATACAAAAAAATGTCTAAGGAAACGTATGTGTGTGTGTGTGTG